TTAAACTACTTTAGAGTGAAAATCATTAATATTTAAATGTTTCAAATTTTAACTCCAGAAGAAACTCGTTGGCACTTTTACACAAACCTGGTGAAAGTTTAAGGGTTATCTCTGAAGCCACAGAAAATTGTCTAAATGACGTCGTATAAACGTCCTAACAACGAACTTCAGAACAACCGACTAAACTACAATCAGGCTCCATGTGGACAACCGAGGATTTGAAGTTTTTAATCGACTTATACTGATGTCTTCTCTGCAGACTCTCTGTCAAAGTCACACTAATACCGCAGTGTGCGCTCACCGGCTAGCATGCTAGCCGCTGAAAGCTGCTGTTTCTCTCTGTTTTAGAAGCAGGGACAGAACCGAACCAGCGGAGCTGCAATCTGGACCTACTTGGCTCTGAATGTTTGGAAGAACAGAGCTGCCACGGCTCGGTTTTCCAGTCTGTCTCAGAAAACATCTTGCTAAGCAGCTCGGAGTCACCCCTCTCCTGATGGCAGCCATGTTGGGAGGGAGGAGACAGACCTACGGAACGTGGGAAGGGTCAACCTGCCAAACCGCGAATGTGTTTTTTAAATTTACGTAAGAAATGCAGCATGCAGAGTTTAATTTATTATTATTATTATTATTAATTAACTGAAATAAAAACATCTTAATGTAATATCTTGTAGCACAATTGAATGAGGCTCCAACACTAAATACAGCCTCCTATTCATGCTTTTGCCTTTGTAAAAAAATAAACTCCTTTTTGCAGACACACACAATAAATAGCTAACTAAATAAATAAAGGTTTTCAAATGAAAATTACATTTTAAACATTCTTGTCTCTGTTTCTAATCATTTTAAGGTCATCCAATGCTTCATTGTAAATTTACTTTCACTTTAAAGTTTACTTTCACTTGTAGTTCGTCTTATGACGGGAACGGGATGCAAAACAGCTGACCAGGAAAATACCGATGGCTGAATAGTATTTTTTCCCATTTAAAATGTTTACAAGTCCTCTTGATGGAGAATAAAAAAATACGCCAGCTGCTTAATTATTTAGATTTTGTGTCCTGCCACAATATAACTCTACAAAATAATTGTCACAGATACTCAGTAAGGGTATATTGATAAATGAACCAAAAATAGATTCTATGGGTGTAAACATTTCTTCAAATGTAGAAACAAAACAACACATCACAAGGACTCTTAAAGACCTGACATTTATGATGACATTTTAATGCTTTGTTTGTTGTTTGAACATCTCTTCTTCCAGTGTCAGTGAGTGGTATTATTTTAGTCTTTGTTTGGCTATAAACAGTAGACTCCTCCCGTTTCCCTCCAGAGGCGCATATTCTGCACAAATAGGAAAAAACGTAAATATTTTCTCATGAGCGTTGCATTAAAATCTCGTATTATTGTATGAAGTTACTTACAGACATGCCCATGTGTGAAAATGTTAAACTGCTTCACAAAGACAAAATCCCTCATGCAAACTGCAACAAACTTTCGTTTTTTTTTCTTTTTAAATAAAATTATTATTTAACCTGCTGACTCTAGTGTGTTTTTGTGCACCGGTCACTTCTTGTGATCGAGAAAGATCATCTTCCCGGCGGCTCCTTGCTGTTCAGATCGCTGACCTCTACATTGTTGGAGCTAATCTGGTCTATAGAGCACATTTTGGCTGCATGAGAGCATCTCGGTTCTGGGTTTGATGCTGAATGTCTGTTTAATGATCTGTTTACATCTAAGGTCAGGGGAAATTCCAGGTTTTACCATGTTTTCACTTTCATTTTTAATTACTGCAAGATTACATATTTTTTATGACTTATGGTATTTGAATTAATCAGACAGACAGAAAGATGCTATAGATATACGTTCCTCAGCGATCTTCAATATTTGATTTGAAACTTGCAAATCTGTCCTAAAAATGTTCTCTTTTATGGGATGGACGCAACAAAACCTGTGCTTGGCAATGTTTCCATTTTCTGTCTGTGTACAGATTTGTGATTTTTCCGATCTTGAATAAAAAAACTAAACAGACAAGAAAAACATTAAAGGTGCAGACAGTCCTGGTCACACTCAGTGGTGACCTGGTTTCCGAGCTGCGTCTCGGTTTGGGTTGAACACAACGCGTCCAAAAGGAGAGATGACCAACGATCCGTCATTCGCTGCGCTAGACAGGTAAATATGGTTTTATCAAATCACAGAAACGCAGGGAGATAATTTTCCTGGTCGTCTTTTGTAAGCGTAGCATTCAGTCAATACCCAAGTGAGTGTAGCTGACTGCGTTCAGATTAGATGCGTTAAGGCACAGTTTCGCTTTGGTTTCTGCGTCATTAAGGGAATACAACGCTTTAAAAGCGACTATTCTCACACGCAGTCGAAAGTTTTTGCTCCTCTATTTTCATTTTCTCACTTCAGGTTTTTGCTGCGAATGAAAATGGGCGCAGCTACATCTAAACCAAAGGAGAAGTGCTACGATCCCAACGACTCCTCGCTGACATTTGTCGACCGAGAGGATGAATTGGACTGTGAGTAGGCTGCTGCTGGTGGCTTCTTTTAACTAATCTGTGGATTAATGCTGGAAATGGACTTAAAACTCATTTGCTGAGTTACTATTTGTTTGTATTGTCGGGCAGTTTTGTATGAAGGCTTCACATCACCAAGAGCGCAGATGTCCTGTGGTCACGCTGTGACCCCGAGGTCTCTCACTAACTGGTGTCTGAAGCAGCTGAATGAGGTAAAGTGCTACAAACTATAAGATTTAGAGAAATAACCTTACTCCTATTTAGTATAATATTTACAAGAGGCTCTAAAAAATGTGTCTGGAGAACCAATTCCAGTCTATATATTTGTTTGTTTTGTTTTGTTTGTTCTTCTTTTGGTTTATTTAACAAATTGCTGTTTCTTTTTGAAAGTAGATCTAATTTTATAGCTATTAAGAAACTTTATGTTTACAGAGTATAATATCAAAGCATGTTAATGGAAAGTTGAGTGGAAGGCAAAATGTGGTAGAGCAAGGGGCACAAGCAACAGGGATAAGCACAGTCTTTGCTGTTGTTGTTTGTTTAAAATTCTTATTGTTTAAAATTAATTTTGGGTTTTCATTAGCTCTGAGCCTTAATCATAAAAGCTAGCAAAAATAAATAATTGAAATTCCTCTGTGTGCAATGAATCTATATAACTAGAAGCAGTTCTTTATATATTAAATAGTCTGAAAATAACAATATTTTTTATTTCAGTTGCACACATTAGGATCTTTGTTAGAAAAAAAAAAAAATATTATATATATATATATAATTATATATATATTTTAAAATTTTTATATATATTTTATATATATATATATATAATATGTAAAATCTTTAGTGAGCATGGTGTATATCATCAATTTAAGAGAAATTCTTAGAACATTCATGTAAAGAACTGGTGCATTTGTCAACATGATCTTTGGGAATTTGGTCTGTCTTGGGGCCCTCAGGCCTGTAGGGGGGACATAAACACTTTTCAAAGTTTACTTATATCTCTGGCCGGCCTTTAGTCTATTGACCGGTGTTTCTTCTTCCATTGTTTTAAAGGGGCAAAGCAGGTTTGTGTGTGGCGTGTATGGCTGTAATGCTCAGTGGTCTTACAAGGAAATTCAGAAGATGGCTCTCCTGACCCCTGAAGAAAGAAGGCACTTTAATGAAATGCGGACCATCAATGCTGCTGTTAACAGAAAAGTATGTCTTTTATGCCTTACTTTGAAGTTTTTTAATTAAATTAGTTTAGATTGCTAATTTATTCTAAATCTCCATCTGCCTCCAAACAGTGTCCTGGATGCAAGTCCTCTGTTGCAAGACAAAATGAGTTTAATCTCTGCGTCAGCTGCAAAGCATGCAAAACAAAGAGAGGACATCCATATGAGTTCTGCTGGCAGTGTCTGAGGGAATGGAAAGGTCCAAAGCCACGGTTGGACCGCTGTGAGAATGATGGCTGCTGCAACACGGCGCTCCAAACTCTGAAAACCTGCCCGGATATCGTCTTTGACACGGTAAAAGGAATCAATGGATGTCCCTCCATCCGGGCCTGTCCAACTTGCGGTTCACTGCTGGAGCATAAACGAAATCACTGCAAACACCTTGACTGTCCTCAGTGTAAGGTCAAGTTCTGTTTCGTGTGCCTGAAGACTTTTACTGAATGTTCGAAAACAAGTTCAATATCAGCACCGTGCTCCAGTGGTGTTGCTCCTAGACAGACGGTTATCCCTACGTGGAAAAAGAATTAATGCTTCTTCTTCTGCTCAGAAGTGTCGGCAAATTTTAAGCGGAACCAATTTAAGTGTAAAAACCAAAACCTAAAATCAAGCGTACTGCTTTTACACTATGAACCTTTCCACTTTTGTCACATCCAGACCTGCTGGAATGTGTTTTATTTGTTTTGTTGTTTTTTTTTCATAATTTAAGAAATTGCATGGAATTTATTTTAGGGCTTTTAATGTGTACAAAATGTTACATAAACATAATAAATGTCAATGTTTTTTCAGAACTAATACATAAATTCATTTAATTGATTGTCAACTTAAAATGATTGTTTCAGCTGCAGTTCTAAATTTGTTTTAAATAGAAAAATATTTGCATGTTATTCCCAGCATTCATAAGAATTAAAATCGTCTGGTTAGATTTTGCTGAGCTCAAAGGGAAAACTGTGAAAACTAGAAGACATTTAGTCCTAGCTCAGCTGCTTTCTCCATTATTCTCCATTCAAATGTCTTATTTCCTGTATTTTCCTTTTGTCCACAGGCTTTGGATGTAATCTGTATGGGGTGGTCTTGATTGTGGCTCTGTAATTTAGACACACAGTAACTTCATAGCAACTGTGATTTTCTCAGTTCTAAGAACATTTACCATAATTCCTCCCATAAAGCTACTGTTGGGCTTGTTTTAATTGCACTTGTTATTAATCACAGAGCTTAATGATGAAAGAAATTCAGCTTTTTGAGAGCTGTCAGGAGCTGATTGTTAGGCGTTGTTGAGGCGACTGTGGCTCAGTGGAGAGAGTAGTTGTCTTGCAATCAGAAGGTTGTTGGTTCGATTTCAGCTTCCTCCTGCCATATGCTGATTTTCCCCAGGACAGGGCACTGTGTATCGGTGTGTGAGCGTTAGTGAGTGCAATTGGGTGTTGCGTGAGTGCAATTGGGTGAATGTGGCTCTAGTGTAAAGCGCTTTCAGCGGTTTGTATGACTGGAAAACATATGTTCAGTCCATTTATGAACTGCATACTTAATTTACTAAACACCTTGTTACATTTAGCATTTCGCTACATTTATTCTCCTTCTTTTAATCAAGGACTGTAAAGGGGAGCTGTTTAATAAAGCAATAATCCCCAAAACTTAAACTCTATCACTCTTTCAAGCTCCTGGATTTATTTTCATTTTGACAGAAAATTTGAATCTCTATTTATTTATCTTTTTTCAGCCTTAGAAACTGCATCCTAATAGTTTGACCTACATTTCTCCCATGTTTCCATCATCTGCAAAAATCAACAGCTAATCTCATTCTCTATTTTAGAGACATTATCTATGAGCATAAAGAATATAAAGGGCTTAGTATACTTCCTTGTGGTGCTCCATTTTGTACATATGACCATATGTATTGGCACTGCCATGTCCTCCTTTCAGATGGGTTTCCACATTACCAAATTTTATTTTATATTTCTGAAAAAGTAAAACTGAATAACTCACAAAGGAAGGCTCCATAAAATGTTTTTTTTTTTGCATTTGAACTGAACTTTCAAACCAACTTCTGCACCATTGTCTTTATATTTACTCAAAAGTAAAAATGTTATCTAAAATAACTTTTTTTTTTTTCTGGCAGTATTTCAATATTTATTCCTGCTTTAAACATAGATGGTTAGCAATTACAGAAAATATATTGAAAAGTAACTACAGCAATTACATTTAAGAAACTTATTTTGCAGCTATAATGACTTCAATCAATAACTTGATCAGTATTTTAGGCTCTGTCCAAGGCTACATTATCAAAAATATTACTAAATATGTAAAATTCTAGAAGCTTTTTAGTCTATTTTTAATACAGCTTTATCCTTTGGCCCTTTATCAAGCTGAAAACATTATCGTGAGAAACACTAAATAAATAAAATTAGGCATAAAATTACTTGAAATATAAAACAATATTAATAAAGAAGTAAATAAAAATGGATCCAATGGAAAAATGAATAAGTAAGCAAATACAACTTTACTTTTAAAAATAAAATAAAATTTAACAAGAAAATGAAAATATAAGTAAGTAAGTAAATAAATAAACAAAACAGGTAAATAGGCCATTTAATTAAAAACGGATAGTTAAGTGAGTACATTCGTAAATAAATAAACACTAGAGAAAGGAATATAAACATTTTATTGGAACTTTCCTGATACATAATTAGAACATTTAGTGATGATCTAAAGCTTCGTAACAAATTCACTTTACTGTAAACTGGCTCTTATGACATAAATGTTAGAAGAAAACAGGAGTTTTCATCTCATGTGGGAACAGATCAGGTACCAATTCCTATTATTTCATTCATATCTGCAATTTCTTCCGGTCTTCAGACTGATACCAACAATAATGTTGAAAAGTCATGTGGATTTGTTATTATATCTTATTTACAATTAAACATTATACAATAATTATAATTTAACATCTCAAGAAGTATACATATTCCTATTGAAGGATTTGTTATTAATTTGTGTAAAAACTGCAATCTGCAAAGTGGTGTTATTGTATTGAATGAACAGGAAAATTGATTTGATGCTTTTCAGAAAGAGTAATTTGGATCTAAAGAGAAACCAAAACCATTATGAGTCATGCAGTTGACAACATGATGGCTTTGCTAGGTTATAAATAGTCCTGGACCCCCCCCTCCTCTTCCTCCTGCCTCAACATCCTTCTGAAGAAATGCTGCAGGTGTCTTTGTCTGCTGCCTCTCAGCCTCCGTCCACCTTCCTCACCATCTGGACCTTAGCATGAGATTTGATGTTGTAATCAGACAAGGAAGCAGAGTCATTGTCCAGAGGCTGGTCCTGGACGATCAGCCGGATGTCATTCACAGTCGGTCCTGAGCAAATGAAGCAGAACGAGAGTTTGTTTTGTCCAGGAAATCTACTGGGAAAATCATTTCAATTCTGCTACTGTAGCATTATTTTGCACGCAGATTATGTGAAAGTGATAGTAAGAAATCCTTTATGTAAGTAAAACTCATGCATTTCTCTTTATAATTTTGTGTTTTTCGTTTGTAAATATACCTAAAAGTTGCTCCATAACAACATCTTGCACACTTGAATGTGTCTTTAGTAAAGTATTACCTGATTTAGGGAACGTGTTCACCGCGTAGTGCTTCAGTTGGAGAACGGTCATTTTCCCCACAGGTCCCTTGGTGTTCAGATAGCTGACCTCTCCATTGTTGGAGCAAACGACGAGCAGGTCTGTTTTGCACATGTTGGCTGTGTTTCAGCTGCTCGATCCTTCGTTTGTTGGGAGTTTCCTGAACTTGGTCAGCCTTTATAGAAGAAAAAGTGGGCCGTCTTTTGTCTGCAGCCCATCAAAGACAAAGTGAAAGCAAAAAGCTCGGGATTTCCAGGAGTCCTGGAAATTTTTTAAAAATCACAATACCATTTTGCAGCTTTTATTTCTCTTTCCAGAGCCATTAGATGCAGGAACGGCCAACAAAAATAAACATTTGCTGTGTTTTATTGCTTTAATGTTGATGCGTGAAGAATTAAGAAGCATTTATGGGACAAAGTGCATCACAGAAAACAAAACAAAGTGAGACAATATATTAGACGAAATAAAGTTAAAAGTCATTAACATGAGACATACAAATTGATAATATACAGATGTATAACATTTAAAAAAAGGACGTGCTTAAATGAAAAAAAGTCCCTTATATTTAGAATACTTTCAGTTTTGGATTGGTTGTTTTGTTAGGAGGCGTTGGAAGGTCTGCTTTTTAGCAGAAAGCTTAATAAAAGAAACAAAATATGAAAACTAATAAACGAATAAAAATAAAATGGGCCTGGGTTAGTTTGCTTTTTAGCAAACATATCACGTACCCACACCTTGCCATCTCATTCCAGTTTTCTTTCTTTTTGTATCCATGTACTTAATTCTTATTTACTTTGAGGTAAAAATATGAGAAAGACTGATTAGATATTTTTACTGATAGTGGTTCTGATCCCTATTTTCGCCAGTCGCAAAATAAACAAGGTTGTGGATCATACCAAAACAACACTAAGACCTCCTGTTTTGATGTATTATCTGTCATCACATAACCATATTTTCATATTGTAGATAATATAGATTATAGAAAGCGCCTTCAAATAACTAGTTGTCAAAGTAGACAGGAATTGTTCCATATGTCTAGTGGCAGATGACTTCCTTTCGTACCTGGAAACTCAGAAACGAAAGGACTAAAACAGCAACGTAAAAGAGGCGGAATGACCAGTTTCTATGTTTTAGTAATGGACGTTTGTAAGTGTTTGTTGTTTTTCTGTCACTACAGATATTTTTAGTTGCTTATTCTTCAGCGCTTGAACCTGCAGGCAGATCTCTGGCGCAGACTCAGAATGAGGATTAATCCGATCAGCTCAGCGCCCTGACGTCACGCTGTCACAGTTTCAGTCTGAATTGAGCATTTCTGAACTCGACTTGTTTTCATTTAAGTGCGTCCAAAAATTTGAAATTTCCAAAAGCCCACCACGGGATTACTTCCAGGTAAAAAGGGTTTTTTTCTTATTTTGATTGGATCTTATTGTGCGTAACGGGGTTTTTTTATAAATTTACAAATTTATTTTGGAGAAAGAAATTCGAAAGGTTAGGGAAAAATTTTTTTCCAAATTCGGGTTTTTTTCCCGGGTCAAAAACTCATCAAACGGAACCAATTGGGCCCCCTAGAAAACCCAAAACCCCCTCTGCAACCACAGCCCAAAGGAGCAGTGGGGGCTTATCTAAATTTTCCTCAAAAGGCCCAAACACCGGGGCTGGGGAAATTTTTGGCCTTGTGCAGACCTCCCCTCCTCCCCCAAATGGGGCCCGGGAAACCGGGCTTTCAAAAATTTTAACCCAGAAAAAAATGATGGGGAAATATTCAAATTAAACGCCAAGGGGGGGGTGGGATTGTCATTAAAAATTTGGATTTTGGATTTTTATCTCCTTTAAATTTCTTTATACTACAAATTTTTTGGATTGGAGATTAAAAACTTGGAAATTTTTTCCCCAAAAAAATATTGCCTAAAAAGGGCAAAAATTCCCGTAAAAAAATGCAAAAATGGTCCAAAAAACTCACTATGCTTTTAGTGCCTCAACTCATGCATTAAAAAAGAAACCCCATCTAAACATACGAAACCCCCTTACTTTTTGGGAAAAATGTGCCTAAAAATTTATTTTTTTATTATTTTGTTTTCGTTTCCCAAAAACCAAAAAAAATGGGGGGAAATAACTTCACTAAAAGCAGTTTGTAGGGGGCCATCCCAAAAACCCCAGCACATATAGAACACCCCCCACCCCCCTTTTTCTTTTTAACTGAAGCTTAAACCCCCTTGACTTTATATAACCCTTTAAAAAGTTTTCCCTATTGTAAAAATTTAAGGGTTTACTATACCAAAAAAAAAAAATGATAACCAAACGGCACTTGATGCAATTTTAATTTAAAAAAGGCCCCAAATTTTTTATGTACCCCGACTTTACCAAGGGTTTGTGGTTTTACAAAGGAAAAATTTAAAAGGCCCCCAACCAAAATACAGTGCCGTTCGAAAGTTTTTTTCGGGGCCCCCCTTTAACTTTTTTTAACCTTTTTGCCACATTTCCAAAGGGTTCAAACTAAGAATAAATTTCAAAAAGTTTTTGGAAAAATTTAACCCAAAAAGTGGGACCACAATCGGAATTGGGAAAGAAATTTTTTTGGAAAGTTTTCCCAAACCTTTTTTTTTTTAAAAACCCAAAAAAAAAACCGAAAAGTTGGGGGGGGGGCGTTTCATAATATTTGGCCCCCTTCGTTAATTTCTTTGTACGCCACCCTTTTTCTGAAATTACGGGTGAAAGTCCCCTTTGGGGGATTTTC